GATCATGGATGACAGACAGGAATGTAGCCCTGTGTCCACGGGGTGACTGAGGAGGGAACCAGAGAGGTTTGACACCCTCACAAACACGGCCTCCTATACTTTCAAATCTGCTCTTCCCTCTCGCACCCCTCACAGGAACCAGTTCTGTTGGAATGCCTCTTCCTGGGAGACAGGTCATCAATTCAAGGGATACTCTTGCCCTCCATCACATAAAGTCTCATTATTCTTTCCTCCAATCCAACTTAATCCTCCCTTGATCTGTTTCCAAGACTCTTCAACACCTACGTCATCACTATCCCATTTTTGCTTTTGGTTTTCCCTTTGTTTTTTCCAGCTGAGTTTCTGTAGACTACTCTAATGCACACTGAGCACACTGACACCCCAAAACTTGCAGTTCTTGCTCTTGGTATCTCCCATCAGACACAGCACTTGCACAGTTTTGTGTTACTACTTTTTCTGCATTTTTGTTCCTCTAGTTGGCTCAAAAATAGAGTCGATTACTACACATTCAGCTGTACCACATAAGTAATCAAAAACACCTGAAGTGCCCCAGGTCAACCGAAATGACATTTCTAGGGACCACACTATGGCTCAGAAGATGGGGCTGCTGCTTGGAACACCCACCTCCCCTGTCAGAGGGCTGGTTCCAGTCCTGGATCTTCTACTTCTGATTCAGCTCCCTGGTAATGCTCCTGGGAGGCAGCAGGTGATGGCTCAAGTACTTGGGCCCCTGCAATGCACATGGGAGATCCAGACAGAACTCCTGGCTCCTGGCTTTTGCCTGGCCCAGCTCTGGCTCTTGTAGGCATACAGGGAGTAAATGAACCAGGTGAAGGAAGATATTCATTCTCTCTCTCTCTCTCTCTCCCCCGTCACTCTTCATTTCAAATAAATTAAAACAAATAAAGTTTTTTAAATGTTTCCTAAATCTAGGAGAATAAAAATTTTGCATTGGTTTACACTGTAAAATTTGTTACGTTTAACTGAAATTTTTTTAACTTAAAAACTTTTATTAGAAAGACTTCTGACTGATTTCAAAAGCTCTAATATCCTAAATAACACCTTGCTGATAATTACATTACTTAGAAAAGTTGACAGTTCTGTGCTAAAGTATATAAATAAACTCAGTCACTTAAACTATTGGAAATTTTCAAGGGACATTTTAGCAAGTCCAAGATTTTATTGTCATGTCTTCCTCTTAAACCTGTGAAACACTACTGAAAAAGAGCTGTTACTCTGAGACAAAACTGCAACAAAAAGGTCAGAATCCCCTGAGGAAGGTGAGTAATATGAGTATGGCCTCAAACAGCCGGAGGCTCACCTCACATGGACTCCAACCCTCTGTATTTCCTGAAATCCTCTTGGAACTCTCAAGCCATTAAATTAGTTCAGTCAAGTCCTATGCAGCACTACATCACAAAAGCAGGACTGGAACCAGCCCTCTGACAGGGGAGGTGGGTGTTCACAAAAGCACAAACTAAGAGCCAGAACCCAGCAGCAATTTTTTGTCATGTGTCTTGACTTAGCCAGGCCTACAAAACAAACAAAAAACTTTAAGGATGAAGACACATCACCATACTTCAAAGAGTAGAAGTATAAATTCCTGTGTTCAGGGGCTGGCGCCGTGGCTCACTTGGTTAATCCTCCGCCTGCGGTATTAGCACCAGGTTCTGGTCCTGGCTGCTCCTCTTCCAGTCCAGCAATCTGCTGTGGCCCAGGAGGGTAGTGGAGGATGGCCCAAGTGCTTGGGCCTCTGCACCTGCATGGGAGACCAGGAAGAGGCACCTGGCTCCTGGCTTCGGATCGGCGCAGCACTGGCCATAGCAGCCATCTGGGGACTGAACCAACGGAAGGAAGACCTTTCTTTCTGTCTCTCTCTCACAGTCTATAACTATGTCAAATAAAAAAAAATACTGTGTTTATACCAGAAAGGGTTCATTCTTCATTTTTAAAAATTCGGTATAAATTAATGTGGCTATAAAAATAACATAGGAGCAACAATTCTGCATTTAGTGTGTGACCCTATACTAGCTGCCTTATTTCAGGTTGCTCATCTGTAAAATGGAAATATTATACAGCAATACCTCACCAAGTGACAGCCAGGATTAACTAGAAGACACATCATATATGCAAGATATGCTTTATAAACTAAAAGCCATCATCAACTTCTGACCCTGTAAGCCTGTCCAACAGGCTATGACTAGTAGATGATGGTAGGCTCAAAAGATAGTTAAAGTATTACCATGAATGTCCCAAATGCTTTCTGAGTAATTGCATTTATCTCCTTTCATTTATTTCCAACTTGTTTTGTTCACAGATTGACTTTGGCTCACTCTGAGCCTCTAACACCCCATCTTGCCTCTGGCTTTGGACATGAATTATTCTTAATCTCTCCAGTCTCTGAAACTCTGGCTGATCTGCTGCCAATAGCCTTTAGTGAACCTCTTCTAAGGTCCATTGTCTAAATAAAGAGCATGCAAATATATGATTAAAATGGAATAGCCTAAGACTCTTATATTTAAAAAAAATAAAATAAAATCTTCATTTATAGTAATTTTAGATTTGAGAGAAGTTGTAAAGATAGTATAAAAATTTTCCCTTATACTCCTCACCCAATCTCAATATACTTGAATGTTATCTCACATTTACTGTAATGTATTTGCCAAGTCTAAGAAACTAAAATTGGTACATTACTATTAACTAAGCTATAGAATTTTTTTTTAATTTCACTACTTTTCTATTACTGTTCTTTATTGTTGTTGTTCCAAGATCAATTTTAGGAAACCACACTGCATTGAGTTGTCATGTCTCTTTAATCACCTTTCATCTCCAACATTTTTCTCAGTCTTTTCTTATTTTTCATTACTTAACTTATTTCATTAGTATTGACCAGGAACTTTGTAGAATGTTCTTCAATTTGGATAAACATGATCTATTTTTGTCTCATTATTAAATTGGCATTGAAAGAATACTACAAAATGCCCTTTATCATCACATGATATCCACATGACATTCTTGTGGATACTAACCCTAGGAGTAGGACAGTATTTGCCAGATTCTCCACTATAAAGTTGCTTTTCCCTCTAATCTTTGAAGTGTGATTCTTAATTTTGCAGAGACAGGCAGTCTTAAAAGACGACAGAGAAAACTAAAGGAGGAGCAACAAGAGAGTTGGAAAGAAACTCAAAGAGCATATTGTTCACATCAAGCAAGACTAAGACATTTGGGGAATGAGGACATGGTAAAAACTGTCAAATGTTCAAGGAAGTAAAGAAACTTGCTGAAAGGTGTCAAATGAAAGGTGGCAATGACTCTGGCAAAAGTAATTTTAATTGTGTGATAGAGCCAAACCAGAATGCAGTGGCCTGGACTAATTACAGCAAGTTGACATAAAATGTGAATTATATATTCTAGAAACTTAACTATGAAACTATGAAGGGAATGGGTGGAAAGGGTGGTGACTGGAGAGTTACAGACTCAATGGAGACTTAGGAGCATCTCTTTATTTAATGTAAAGAGGCTTGAAAACTTGTAATCGGAGAGAACAAAGACATTTGAGCAAGAAGGAAAGTGGGGTGAAGGTTAAAGATCTAGGCAACTTTACTGGGTAGAATTTATATGGATATGGGCTATATCCCACTATATCTGTCATAAATCTGGGCCAGTCTTCATTGAGCGGTATGTCTGAATTATCAATGATTTTCTTGTTGAGAATGTGCAGAGATGTAATGAGACTTCCAGAGCAGAACACACATTCTCTTTTATATATAATTTCTTAGACATGCCCAAGTCTCCAACAAGCTGTTCATCCAGATTTTTAGTTAACTGTTCAGAGCTAGATGAGTTGTCAGTTCTGTTTAACAATTCTCATACCCTGCTAAACCAGCTTTTCAGTAAGGCTGGGCAGAGCCCTGACCGAGAAAGCCAGCAACTGGATGGGAATTTTGGTTCATTCTGACATCCTCTTTGCCTATAGTAAATTCCCTTGTTTTTTGCGCTTTCATTTTATAACATGAGAAAGCATAAACGAATATTTCCTGTGACAAAGACTACTGTTTGTCAGTAGATTGGAATTACTAAATAAAGGTTTTTTTTCTAAATCATAGTTGTGTTTTATCTTCTAAAAATAAGAATTTCTTCAAATTCCCATACTTTCCCTGAGAAAAAACACAGGGGCTTTCTGGTGGTGGTGATAATGGTGATTTTTGAAGAAGATTTAGGCAATTTCAATAAGATAGGTAGATTTTTTAATGAATATTTCAAATGTGAGTTAAAATATTATATAGGTTCAAAGGCATTTAATAAAATGAGAAGAATTTAATACAGTGGGTAAATTTGGACAAAATTTATAAATATAGAATCTACTGTAATTCAGCCAATTTTATTCTGAGAATTTACATTCTTATGAGTTAATTAATTAAAAATAAATGAATAAATTAAAGTATTATGGGTACTTATATTGAGATAAAACTATATTCATGGTTTTCATCTATTTTAACAGCAGCAAAGAAAAATACCATGGATTGAGCTAGAATGATGCTGAGGGAAGAATGAGCTGTCTGTTAAAGCAGAATTTTTCATGCTTTATCTTCAGTACTAGCCTCACTATTTCTGTTTTTTGCCATATTAATTAAAAATTGAAGAAATGCATTAACATAACAGTTAATTAGTCAAATGACTGACAAAATAATTAAACATGGATAGCAAAATTAGATTAGCTTAGAGCATCAGTGTTGTTCTCAGACTCTGACTATGAAATTGTCTCAAACTAAATACAAGGGTATTTCTGAAAAAGGTAAAATATGTTGATGGAGAATAACTCAAAGATATATATTTAATTGTTGGCTCACAGTTTTACTTGTAAATGAGGGAAATCAATCAACATATTGATTTTACCTAACAAAGGCAAAATAAGATTTTTTTTTTTTTTTCTGTCATGGTGAGTTTTTTTTTTTTTTAACTTTTATTTAATGCATATAAATTTCCAAAGTACGACTTATGGATTACAATGGCTTCCCCCCAATACCGTCCCTCCCACCCACAACCCTCCCCTTTCCCACTCCCTCTCCCCTTCCATTCACATCAAGATTCATTTTTGATTATCTTAATATACAGAAGATCAGCTTAGTATACATTAAGTATGGATTTCAACAGTTTGCTCCCACACAGAAACATAAAGTGAAAAAATAATAGATGATTTTTTTTTAAATGATGATGAAATCAGATCAGACCTATTGTCATGTTTAATCCCAGTGAGAGTCAAGTTGGGAGTTGATAATTTCTTTTTTTTTTTTTTTTTTTACAGAGGATCAGTTTAGTATGCATTAAGTAAGGATTTCAACAGTTTGCACCCCATAGAAACACAAAGTGAAATATATTGTTTGAGTACTCGTTATAGCATTAAATCTCAATGTACAGCACATTAAGGATAGAGATCCTACATGAGGAGTAAGTGCACAGTGACTCCTGTTGTTGACTTTACCAATTGACACTCCTGTCTATGGCATCAGTAATCTCCCTCTGCTCCAGTCATGAGTTTCCAAGGCTATGGAAGCCCCATGAGTTCTCCGACTCTTATCTTGTTTAGACAAGGTCATAGTCAAAGTGGAGGTTCTCTCCTCCCTTCAGAGAAAGGTACCTCCTTCTTTGAAGACCTGTTCTTTCCACTGGGATCTCACTCGCAGAGATCTTTTGCCAGAGTGTCTTGGCTTTCCATGCCTGAAATACTCTCATGAGCTTTTCAGCCAGCTCCGAATGCCTTTAGGGCTGATTCTGAGGCCAGAGTGCTATTTAGGACATCTGCCATTCTATGAGTCTGCTGAGTATCTCACTTCCCATGTTGGATCACTCTCCCCTTTATTTACTCCATCAGTTAGCGTTAGCAGGTACTAGACTTGTCTATGTGCTCCCTTTGACTCCCAGTCCCTTCACCAGGACCAACTGTGAACTGAAACTGATCACCTGGAACAGTGAGATGGCATTGGTACATGCCACCTCGATGGGATTGAATTGGAATCCCCTGGTATTCTTCCAACTCCACCACTTGGGGCAAGTCAGCCTGAGCATGTCCCAAATTATACATCTCTTCCCTCTCCCATTCCCACCACCATGTTCAACAGGGATCACATTTCAGTTAATTTTCAACACTTAAGAATAACTGTGCATCAATTACAGATCTAAACCAGTCATATTAAGTAGAACAGATAAAAAAAACTACTAAGAGGGATAATGTATTAAGTTGTTCATTAACAGTCAGGGCTATGCTGATCAAGCCACCGTTTCCCATAGTGTCCACCTCACTCCAACAGGTTTCCCTCTTGGTGTTCAGTCAGTCGTCACCGATCACGGAGAACATATAGTATTTGTCCCTTTGGGACTGGCTTATTTCACTCAGCATGATGTGTTCCAGATTCCTCCATTTTGTTGCAAATGACTGGATTTCGTTGTTTCTTACTGCAGTATAGTATTCTAAAGAGTACATATCCCATAATTTCTTTATCCAGTCTATCGTTGATGGGCATTTAGGTTGGTTCCAGGTCTTAGCTATTGTGAATTGAGCTGCAATAAACATTAGGGTGCAGACCTCTTTTTTGTTTGCCAATTTAAATTCCTTTGGGTAAATTCCAAGGAGTGGGATGGCTGGGTCGAACGGTAGGGTTATCTTCAGGTTTCTGAGGAATCTCCAGACTGACTTCCATAGTGGCTTGACCAGTTTGCATTCCCACCAACAGTGTGTTTTCTAATAGAGAGATGGAGATAAAAATAGAATTGAGAATAGTAACCTATATTTGCACATTTTTGGAACACAATGGACAGCTGACAGCTACTTGGAAGGCCAAGCTGACTTTGAGCTAGTTGAATAAGAATATCAAAAACACAGTTTGAAAAGTTTGAACAAGGCATCAGCAAAATATGACCCAAGGGTCAAGTCCCACAAATGGGAGGCCAACTGTGGCTTGCCAACAACTGATGCAGCCATGCCCTTTCATTTTCATATTGTCATGAGTATTTTAATGGCAAAATTAATCATCTACAATAAAGACCATATTACTCACAAAACTGACAACATTTACTCTGGCCAAAGTTGCCAACTCCGGCCTAAACCTATCAGTTGAAAGGCATACACTGTCAGACTGGATACACACACAGTGTCCAATCATACAAGTACTTTTTATCAGACTACAACTTTAAATAATCACATCAAGAAAAGTTAAACTAAAAATGTGGAGGAAAATGTTTCATGCAAACATTAATCAAAGAAAGCTAGAACAGCTATTAATATATGTTAGGCACAGTAAACTTCTAAATAAGGAATATTATCAAGAACCAAATAAGACATAACAAAATGAGAAACGGTTCTCTAAAAACACAAAACTATCATAACTATATAGATCTCTGAACAACAGAATGTCAAAATACAATAATCAAATATCAATGGAACTGAAAAAAATAGACAAATCTACAATTATAACTGAAGACTTCAATGTTCCTCTCTCAATAATTGATAGACTAGACAGAAAAATGATAATTATATAGAAGTCCTGAATAGCACTATCAACCAATTGGATATATCTGATATTTATACAATAGACCCCGGTAACAGCAGATTACAAATTCTTTCCAAAAACACATGGAGCATTCATTGAAACAGACCATATCCTGAGCCTTAAACAAACCTCAAATTTTTTAGACAATAAAAATAATTTTTTTTTGGAAAGTAAAAGTAGCAAAGTTTATTAGGGTAGGGACATCCGTAAGGACAGATGGGCACCTCTCCAGACAGGACCTGACAGAGAGTGCCCGGTCTACATTTAGGCCAGGGTTTTTAAAGAAGTGGGTCTTTGTCTTCACAGACTTCCTCCTGAAACAAAGGACTTTATGGATGCAAATGTTATCAGACAGGAGGAAGGGAGCAGGGTGTTTGAGATGCAGATACTGGGCTGCACCTGGGAGACTGTGGAAGATTTGTCAGGCAGAAGGGGTGGGGACCCCCCCCACCTGGCAGGTTATCAGGTGGAAGGGGGCAGGGCAGGGCAGGATGTGAATACCAGGCTGCCCCTGAAACATCATCCGGATGACCTTGAGATGCAGCATATGCTGGACATAGATGTCTTCTCTTTAGGCCTTTATGTTGCACACACATAAGCTCATAACTGACTTCCTACCTAACATTCCCCCCTCAAGAGGCAATACCCAAAATTCTTCTTTGGGATTATGGATGGAGGATCCGTTTTCTGTAACTTCTTCAAAGCGGCATGTGGGCGTCGAGGGGAATTTGGGTATTTCCTCTTGCTATCTGTTTTATGGTGTGCTACAGTGGCTAATTTTTTAAAATATTTTAGAGAATTAAATCACTAAATTAGAAATCAGTAGCAGAAGCAAATCTGAAAAATCCACAAATATTGGAAAACTGAGAAGCCATACACTTCTAAATAATATATGCACCATAGAAGATATCTCAAGAAAAATTTTAAAATATATACAAACTGTGGGGTCAGTGCTGTGGCTCAGCGGGTTAAAGCCCTGGCCTGAAGCACCAGCATCCCATATGGGCACCGGTTCGAGTCCCAGCTGCTCCACTTCCAATCCAGCTCTCTACTATGGCCTGGGATAGCAGTGGAAGATGGCCCAGGTCCTTGGGCCCCTGCTCCTGAGTGGGAGACCCGGAAGAAGCCCCTGGCTTCAGATTGGCACAGCTGCAGCCATTGCAGCCATTTGGGGAGTGCACCAGCAGATGGAAGACCTCTCTCTCTCTCTCTCTCCCTGCCTCTCTCCATAACTCTTTCAAATAAATAAAATAAATCTTAAAATATATATATATATATATACAAAAACTGCATTAAAACTAGTACAACATACTCAAATTTGTGGGAGGCAACTGAAGGGTGCTTAGAGAGAGACTTAAAATGTTAAATGATCTTATCACAATATATATTTATTAATTTATTAGAAATGAGTTATTAGAAATATCGCCAATCATTTACTGTCTGCTTCCACTTAAAATGTTTGAAAGAGAAGGGGGAAAGAGCCCCAATGCAAGCAGAGTGAATATAATAATAAACATGAGAACAGAAAGCAATGAATTTGAAAACAAAATCAACTGAGAAAATCAAGAAATCAAAAATCTGGACTTTTGAAAATAGTCATAAAATTGATGAACTTTTCTGATCAAGAATAAAGGCAAAGTTGTAACAGCTTGAGCAGCCTTAAAAGAAATAAAAATGTTTGATTATAATCCAAAGGTTAAAATAGACATATATGAATATATAGTAAATAACTGAATAAATTAGGAGAAGCAACCACTTTTAATAAATATAGAAGAAATGATGGACTAGAAAATCACCATTTGAACTTAAAAGCAAAAACACATAAGTTTGGGGTGAAGAATCCTGGTAGGCACTGCCCTAGCCACATGATCAAGGTTAACATCATCAAATGTCAATATCACATACACCCTGATGTAATGCACAGGGAATGGCAAATGATTTCTATGTTAGCCTCCCTAGGAATGCAATAACTTCAATGTAATTATGAAGAAACACCATACAAATCCAAGCTGGGGAACACTCTACAAAATAATGGCCAGTATGTATCAAAAGTTTTAAGGTCGTAGGAGACAAGAAAAGACTGAGGAACTGTCCCAGACTGGAGAAAAAGACCATGTGATGACTGAAGACAATGGAAAATCACAGATTGGATTCTGACACAGTCAAGGGTAATTATCAGGAAAAGCTGGCAAATTCAGAGTTCTGTTCCTCAGTCAACAGTGTCTTATCAAAGTTAATCTCTTAGTTTAGATAAAGGTTCGAAGGTTTGGTAAGGTGCCAATATAAGCAAAAGCTGGGCAAAAGGTTTATGGGAACTCTTATTTTTGCAACTCTAGGTATAAAATTATCTTTCAAAAAAATAGAAAAGAAACAATGCAAAGTCCCCAGTGTTCCTTCTGCAATTCTACCCCTCTCCCTCTTTCCTAGTGGCACTGACAACATTCTTAGCCCAGAAAAGTCCTTTATCCCAGCCCCGGGTTTCATCTCTAGCCTCCCTCCTGCCTCTCCAAGACTCTCTGATCCAGATGAACCAAAACATCTCATGTTTCCTAAGTGATTCTGTCTGCACCATGTCTGCACCTCCACCTGCATTCCTCCTGCATACAATGTACTTCCACAAGTTCATCCACCAAATACCAATTAAACTTTCAAAATGTCCAAGTGTCTTCCTTAAGCACTCTGTCTCATTACTGAATCATTTACTCCATTATCTCAGTTATTTGTGAATTGTGATATCACAACACATATCACATTGTGTATAGTACACTGCACAATTGATATATATTGATTTACTTGTCTCTCTTCTCTGTTAGATTGTTAGCTTCCTTGGAGTTAGAGTAAATTTTTTAATCTGAGAGGGAGAGCGAGAGAATAAGAGAGAGAGAAATATTCTCGTACCCTGGTTCACTCCCCAGATGCCCACGATGGCCAGGGCCGGGTTGAGCAAAAGCTGGGAGCCAGGAACCCAGTCCAGGTCTCCCATATTGGTGGCAGGAATCAGATTACTTGAGGCATCACTGGTGCCTTTCCAGGTCTACATTATCAACAAAGTGGAATTAGGAATCAGAGCTGGGTATTGAACCCAAGTACTCTGACATAGCATATTCGTGCCTTAATTACCAGGCTGACCACCTGCCATATATAACACTTACAAACTTTTAGGATACTCAATAAATGATTAAATGAATGAATGAATCCCAGCTTACTAAGCCAGATAGAGGTTGAGAGTCTGAAATTATTTGACTATATTTGTAAGTACAAATGATAGCCATAGTATCCTATTTATGTCTAATCAAAATTACAGGATAACTTTAAATCTCAAATCACAAGATATACTATGAAATATTAGTAAACATCAAGATTTGTCCACTGCAACCAGAGAGCAAGAAGTTAAGACATTAGGAAAATATTCCAAATATATATAAGGTAGACAAAGGGTTAGTATCCTAAGGTATAAAGAGACATGGGCTCCTGAAGGTGAGGGACTGGCACTCTCAGCTTATTGTTATGGGTGTAAAGTATTACAAGTGTTTTTGGAAAACCACCTGAAATATCTAGGACTTTTTCAAAAGTTCATCATTTTTGATCCAGAAAATCCATTTTACATATTTTTCCTAAGGAATATTTAGGTAAGTAAGAAGAGATACATGTCCAAGGCAGCTTTTATGTTAGCAAACATTTGGAAAACATTCCAGGTGTCCATCATAGGGACTGGTTCAGTAAATTATGATGTGTTTGATATTGTATTAGTAGTCAGTCATTATGATTTGAAAAGCTACCAAGGCTGTTATTTGAAAAACATGGTTTTTGAAATCCAAATTTCACTTTAAAAATATGTAGTTATAGAGATACATATGGAAATGTGTATTCCAAATGTGAAAAAAGCTCTGGATAATAGGATTACAGCTCATTTGTTTTCCTCTGTGTTTTCTTGTACACTGTTTTTAGTAGTGGTCATAATTAGAATATTCATATACACAAATTTATTTAAGCAAATATGTACATACATACCATCGTTTCCTGACCAGGGATTTCTCTTGTTGTCTCTGGAGTAGTCATGGCTGACTAACACACAGCTCCACTTCATTCCACTTTCCCATAGCCTGCTCCCATCCTGTATTCAGCAGGAGGAAAAGGGCAACTGACCCCTTTCAGAATAGGGGGCTGACACCACATGTTGCACAAATCTCCGGCAAGCACTGCAGGCAGCAACGGGGTCCCAGATGCACCCAAAAAAAATGACTTCCCTGCCCAGCTCATGCTGAACGTTGCAAAGGAACTAGCCAAGACGTCAGTGATATTACCCAAACGAATACATCCTCCCAAATATGTACCAAAACAATACAAAGCTTTGGTAGTCGACAATTTTGTTAGTTTTACTGATGGTTTGAGGAAAACCCAGTTGAGTTTCCTGTGTACCTGTGCACACAGGTGAGTCACTTGGGCCTTACCAGGCAAGGAGGTAAGAGAATACACCCTTTCCCACTTGGAGAAACCAAGGTTCAGAGAAGTTCTGTTACTCAAGCAAGATCCCCAGAGACGATAACTCTGACACTCGAACTCAAACCCAGACCATTCTGAGCCCTTCTCTTCATACCAGGCCATCACCAACTGATGCTTCTCACCTGAGGAGCCTGACGAGCAAATCCTGAATTCCAGACCAGCCTTCCCTCCTGATGATTCTGACTCAGCAGATTGCAGATGGAGCCAGGCAATGTGTATAGTTTTCAAAGCTCAGCAGGTGATTTGTATGATTGTGTGATTTGAAGAGAAGCTGGTTAACTCTACCACACCTATAGCTTATGAAGAGAAATATTTATTCTCAGTCACTAAGAATATATATTTTTATATATTTTATATATTTTTAAATACTTATTTATTTATTTATCTGACAGGCAGAGTGATAGAGAAAGAGAGTGAGAGACAGAGAGAAACAGATCTTCCATCTGCTTGTTCACTCCCCAATGCCACAATAGCCAAGGTTGGTCCCAGGCCAAAGCCAAGAGCCAGGAACTCCACCTGGGTTTCCCACATAGGTAGCAGCTGTTTTCCCAGGCATATTAGAAGACAGCTGGATCAAAAGCAGAGCAGCCAGGACTTGAACCAGTGCGCCAATATGGGATGCCAGGTGCAAGCAATGTTTTAACCCTCTGCTCTCTAACACTGGCCCCTCAGCTGAGTTTTTTAAAGCATCAAGATGAATGAAGACAAAGGTGGAGCTCCTGCATGGAAAATAATCTATTCTGCTTTAACGGGAGGCTGTGGGGTTTTCGGGCTGTGTATGTTTCTTTATCTCTGGTTATCTTTGCTGTAGACAGCAGAAACCATACCTATGTCCTGATGGTTCTCCTTCCTTGGTTGATCTCACCTCCCTTGTAGTTGACTCTTCTTTTCTCAGTAGCCTGGTTTCCTGGTCTCTTCCATCTCTCTCTAGAACCTGATATAAGAACTTCCCCATCGAAAATCAATATGTACATTCTGAAATCATTTTCTCTGTAAATGGTTGGATTTCATTTCACCCTTAAAGGGATGCTTAAAGGAGAAGATAATATTAATAATAAAAGCAGCTACAAAGTAAAAAAAAAAAAAAAAAAAAAAAAAGAACTTCCCCATCGACCCAATCTCTGAGGCTGACCCACAAGCTGACTCAGGTTCCTGTGCAAGTCAGCCACAGATCAGCCACTGAGTAGCAGTCACTTGCCAGCAAAGAAGCTTCCAGAAATACATTTTCTCACAACCCCCACTCCAAAAAACAGAGCCTCACCTCACCACACACCAATCTATCATTTCCTTTCCTGTGAAGAAAACAGGCTGCTGAGAGGAGTGCTTTCTGGGGATGCATTTGTGCCTGGCTGTAAGGGCTCCCGCGAATCAGTAATCCTCTCAGCGAAAGACACTTCGACCCCTAGGGCTATGTTCATGCTCCCTCCTCACCTGAGTGGCACAAAGTGCTTTGGGTGTCATTTCCAATTTAGGAAAGCTCTCTGGACTGCTATGTACTTGATCTGGACCATAAGAACTGAGTTAGATTTGGACACAATCCAACATGGTAACATCAAGAAGGACATTATGAATGGAAGGGAAGTAAAGCATAAGCAACCACAGAAAAAATAAAAAGTGATATATATGGAAGATGAGTTTTGCTTGTTTTATTCTATCTAAAATTAATAGATATTTTTAAAACACAGTCCTCATAGGCTGTAATTCCCCTTCAAAAGACAAATCTATGAAGAATGTATTTAAAATCTAAATTAAGGAAGAAAAGGAACTAATGTTTATTGATACCTTTTATGTATCAAGTTCCCTAAATTATCTCACTAAATCCTCAAAACAACACCTGCAGGGTGGGTAGCATCCACTTCACCCTTCCCACCTATTTCCCAGATGAGAATAATGAGAATAAAAAGCTGACCTTTCCAAAGACACAAAGCTTATCAAAGAGAGAGAGAGAGACAGAGAGACAGAGAGGGTCAAACTGAGCTCTGCCAGTTTGCCTGTAAATCCCACATAGTGTCTCCTCACCTCATCTTGCCCTTAAGATGACAAAAAAATGGGCCATATCACTGTGGTAGAACACCCCCAGCTGAGATCAGTGTACAGGAGGTCAGAAAATTCCCACTGCAAGGGGCAAGTTAGTTTTAGCAGCACAGTATCATCCAACACATCAAACTAACAGCGCCAGTCTGAATGTTCCTGGTTTTCAAATCTCACTAGTATTTAATTTATAGATTAATTTTTATCTCATATTCATTTAATAGCTGCCAATGTCAGTAGCACATATGTAATTTTATGTGTATATTTCAGCTAACATTATAATAAAAATATTTCAAGGGTATCAGATATCTTTACCTGTTTAAAGCACTCCACCTGCCACTCAATACTGAGAAAATTGCATCAACTCATTGCTCATGAATAAACACTGACCCAAACAGATTTTTGGGTGTGTTAATGGTTCTCTAGATCAGTAGCCTCTGAGATTTCTCTACAAAGCCCAGGGTAGTATGTCCTGTGAAATCATAAGCATTGCTCTCATTCTGCTGAACTGAAGTTAAAACTAACTGGGCTGGCGCCGCGGCTCACTAGGCTAATCCTCCACCTAGCGGCGCTGGCACACCAGGCTCTAGTCCCGGTCGGGGCGCCGGATTCTGTCCCGGTTGCCCCTCTTCCAGGCCAGCTCTCTGCTGTGGCCCGGGAAGGCAGTGGAGGATGGCCCAAGTGCTTGGGCCCTGCACCCCATGGGAGACCAGGAAAAGCACCTGGCTCCTGCCATCGGATCAGCGCGGTGCGCCGGCTGCAGCGCGCCGGCTGCAGCAGCCATTGGAGGGTGAACCAACGGCAAAAGGAAGACCTTTCTCTCTGTCTCTCTCTCTCACTGTCCACTCTGCCTGTCAAAAAAAATAAAATAAAATAAAAAACTAACTGGGGAGGCACTTGTTGTGATAGAGCAGGTTAAGTCACAGCCTGAGACTCCTGAATCCCATGTCAGAGTGCCAGCTCCAGTCCTGAATCCTCTGCCTCTGGTTCAACTTCTGGGAAAGCAACAGATGATGTCTCAAGTACCTGAGTCCCCACCAGAGTTCTGGGCTCGAGGCTTTAGCCTGGCCCAGCCCCAGCTGTGCTAGGCATTTGGAAAGTGAACCAGTAGATGGAATCTTTCTTTCTGTCACTCTACCTTTCAATTAGATAAAAATAGTAATAAAACACTAGATGGGGAAGAAATTATTTTTAATGCTTTATAATTTTAAAATTTCAAATTTTGCAGATGATGAAACATTGAATTTTTTCAAGTTTTTCCTCCTGAGTAAAGAAGTAGGTATTGCTGGCACTGTGGCACAGCAGGTTAACGCAGTGACCTGAAACACCAGCATCCCATATGGGTGCTGATATGAGACTTGGCTGCTCCACTTCCAATCTGCTATGGCCTGGGAAAGCAGTAAAAGATGGCCCACGTCCTTGGACCCTTGCACCCACGTGGGAGACCTAGAAGAAGCTCCTGACTCCTGGCTTCAGATCGGCGCAGCTCCAGCCATTGTGACCAATTGGGAAGTGAACAATTGGATGGAAGACCTCTCTCTCTCTCTCTGCCTCTCCTCTCTCTATGTAACTCTGAATTTCAAATAAATAAATAAGTAAATCTTAAAAAAAAAGAAGAAAAAGAAATAGATGCGCCAATATAATGCTTGTCCTCTGGTCCCAGAAATTTATTATACTATATTATTATACTATATTATATATTAATTTTATTATATTATTTATTTACTAAATAAACATAAGATACTTTAATCACATTATCTGGGTGATGCTGTTCTAACACATTTTACACTTCTGCAAAGCACTTCACAATGCATATACCTTAAATATTTATAAATTGTTTGCCACCTTTCTTCTAGTTCTCTTTCCTATTTCCAACCCATTTCCCTTAGTGTGGATTGAATATTTAAGAGGAAAAAACTCTTTTTTTCAAAAATAAGAAGAAATTATGTCCTATCTGGTGTAAATTAAAAAATCAAAGAAGGCAATGACTTCAGACCCACCCTCTCTAGGCTGGGATGAGTCACTTTATTTACTCAGAGGGTATAAAGTTTTAAAACGTGCTTTAAATCCACTATCCCAGCTCTTAAACCTTGTGCCTTCTGACCTAGCTGACCCATATATGCATCATGCAGTCAACACCTACTATAAGAAAGGCCCAGGCTTTATGTCCAAAGATGTGTCCCCTCCCACCTCATTTCTGCCTGACGCCTTTTCCTACAGCTACTTAACTCTGGAAAATCCCCCACCCCTGCCCACCACCAGCATCCTGCCCCTCATGTGACCTGTTCTGGACCATGCCCAGATTTGATGATATGTGTCTTCCTCATAGTTTTGACCTTTAGCTCCATCTTCTTCTGGCTGTTGCAGATGACCAACACCCATATACTGCTCAATTCCCTGCTGTGTATCCTACACAGTAGACAAGGTGGCACAGACAAGAGCACCTGCCCTGCTTGCCTGGGTTGATTGTGTTGTAAAGAAACTTATAAATTAAAGACAAAAATGTTCAAACACCAACCAGCATAAAATACCACCTTAATATCTGATAAAGTAGGAATTAAAAAGATGCCTATAAGAGAAGCCTGCCAGGCAGTCATCTTTCTATCAGTAAATCTGAACATAAGTAATGAGAATGTGGTTTCTGCGGATAGGGGACTTCTAGGGCAACTACCACTGGCCCCCACATAATTGAACCCCTGCTTAGAATAAGAGCGTAGAGAGTCATAACTGCCCCATTGACCACTGGCACAGCACTGAGTGAGCAATTTCTCTGAAAAGCCAAGGGCTTTTTATCCATGTGTCAAACAATCATTTCAATAGTTTTATTGAGATACAATTTATGCACAACTGGAAGTGTTTAACATGTGCTAAATATCTATATATATAAAAACTCATATATATAATACATACAAATATACATACACACACACACACATACACACACACACATATATATCAGAGAACCCATCTTCAATATCAAGACAGTGAACATATCCACCTATCACCTCTAAAAATTTCCTTGGTTACCTTTTTAAAATTTTTATTTTAATTTTCATTTGAAAGAGAAAGAGATCTTTCATCTTCGGCGCCTACCACAAATGCTGCAACAACCTGGGCTGGGCCAGGCTGAAGCCAGGAGCCAGGAATTCCATCTATGTCTCCCACATGGGTGGCAGAGGCCCAAGCAATTGGGCCATTATTCGCTGCCTTTCCAGGCACATTAGCAGGAACTTAAAATTACACTCTGATATGGAATGCTGGTGTCCCATGTAGTAACTCAACTCGCTGCACCACAGCACTAGCCACTGCATACATCTTTTTTAAAGATTTATTGATTTGTTTGAAAGGCAAAGTTACAGAGAGAGACGGAGAGACAGAGAGAGAGAGTGGGGTCTTCCTTCCACTGGATCACTCCCCAGATGGCCACAACAGCCAGAGTTGTGACGATCTGGAGCCAAGAGCCAGAGCTTTTTCTGGATCTCCCAGGCAGGTGCAGGGATCGGAGGACCTAGGCCATCGTCTACTGCTTTCCCAGGCCATAGAGAGAGCTGGTTCAGAAGTGGAACAGCTGGGACTTGAACCAGAGCCCATATGGGATGCCGGCACTGCAGGCAGCAGCTTTACCCGTTACACCACAGTGCCGGCCCCACACTGCATACATTTTTATGTGCTCTCCACTTATACCTCCCCACAATTGCCCCATCCACAAGCTATCACTGATTTGTTTGCTGTTGCTAAAGAGTAGTTTGCATTTTCTAAAATATTATGTAAATAGAATTAGATAGTGTATAGATTCTTAATCTGGCTTTTTGCACTGTGTATAATTATTTTCAGATCCATTAATGTCATCACAGGTATCAAAAGCTAATTCCTTTTTGTTGCTGAGTAGATTTAATTGTGTGGATAAACTACAATTGTTTATCCATGTGTTGATGGATACTTTGGATTGCTTCCCAGTTTGAGATTATTACAAATAATGCTGTTATGAATATTTGTGTACAAGTATAGACAAATGCTACCTAGTAAAATGGGAGGGTCACCATAGCAAAGGTATGTCTAACTTTCTAAACTGTCAAACTGGTTTTTCAAGGTTCTCATATAATTTTTACTTCCTAAAAACAATATGCAAGAGTTCCAGTTGCTCCATAACTTTGTAAAGAGCTGGCACGGTAGTGTTTTCAACTTAATACAGTCTCAAGGTACAGTGTTGTATACTGTTGTGGTCTTAGTTTGCATTTCCTTAATGACTAAAGTTGTTGATATAATTTCATATGCCTATTTAGCATCTAAGAAGTTCTTGATGAAGTATTGGTCTCTTTTCTTCAGTTTTAATAGACAATTTGTTTTCCTAATGATGAGTTTAGAGGATTCTTCATTTGTACTGGATATAGTCCTTTATAAAATATGTGATTTGCAATGTTTTTCTCCCAAAGGGAGATTTGCTTTTCATTTTCTTAACAGTGCTTTTTAAGACAGAACTTCATAATTTGGAAGACTAATATATCAATTTGGTTTCTTTAATATTTATTTATTTATTTGAAAGAGTTACAGAAAGAGAGATGGAGAAGAGAGCAAGATTTTCTATCAGCTGGTTCACTCCCCAGATGGCCACAAAAGCTAGAGCTTGCCATTAATTTCAGCCTTTTATTTCTCTCATCAACATTTTCTATCTTTAGTTTTTTGATAACTCATATTTTGATGCTTTTATAATTGGCTTGTTTTCTTTCAATCTATTATTTCCAGCTAGTTGTATTAGTTTCCTTTTTGTGCAGTAACAAATTGCCATAATCTTAGTGGCTTACTAGGGAAGAATCGTTTCTTTGGGGTTTCCATTTTCTGGGGTCTTGCTGGATTCCTTGGCATGTGGTTCCACATCTGTCCTCCCTCTGCTTGGATGATGCTATCACAACTCCTTCTCTGACTCAAATTCTCCCTCTCTTTTAAGAACCATTGTGATTATATTAGATGCACCTAGATAAACCAAGATACTCCCCGCATTGTAACATCCTAACAATCATATCTGTAAGTCTCTTTAAGGTAACATATTCACAGATTCCGGAGATTAAGTTGTGTGCATTTTAAGAATGGATGAAATTATTCAATCTATAACACAAGTACATAAAAATATGATTGATGATTAAATATAGCTCTTGTATTCTGCACTTATACTAAATTTACTTATTAATGTTAGTATCTTTTTTGTAGTCTAAAGGATTTTCTACACATATATGATCATTTCAGCTATTTTAAAAAAGCAGTTTTGCATAAACACAGTTTTCTAACATGGATGCTTACATTTCTTTTTCACGTCTTATTTCACTGGCTAGTGCTTCCAGTATGATGTTTAAAAGCAGTAGTGAGAACAGACTTCCTCATCTTGTTCCTAAGGATAAAGGAACACTTCACTATTATCTTTTCCATTGTAGAATGTGATTATTTTGCTCACAAACTTAGTGAGATACATAAGGTCTATTATATTTTCTATTTTGTTAGGAATTTGTATCAAGAATGCATTTTTAATTTCATTAAATTATTTTCTACATGTGTTGACATGATAATAAGTTATTTTCTTTATACTATTAATAGAGCATAGTACACTGATTGATCATCAAATGTGAAAACTGAACTTAAATTCCTGAAATAACCCCGCTTGGTGAAATATATTATCTTTTAATATACTTTTAGATTTTCTTTGCTAAAGTTTTGTTAAAGTTTTTCATTTGTGCTCAAGAGTCATACTAGTCTGTAATTTTCACTTAATGCTCTTTTCTAGATTTGGCATCAAGGTAATGCTAATTTTGTAGAATGAGTTGGTAAGTATTTATTCCTCTTCATCTTGGGAGACTATTTGGTGTAGAAGTGCTGTTAGTTCTTTAAATGTTTGGTAGAACTCACCACTGAAGCCATCTAGGCCTGGAGTTTTCCTTGTGGGGTGATATTTAAATAAAAAATTCATCCTTTTTAATTGATGTAAGGCTATTCAGGTTATACATTTCCTAGTAGTGAAGTTTGGAAGATTTGTCTTTCAAGGAACTTACCAATTTCATCTAAGTAACATAAATAATCATTTTTATCATTTTTCATCACTGGGATTGTTATTTCAAGCATCCTTTTATCTTTTTTAATGTCAAATTTTTTATTTCCAGATTATTGGGCATTTTTTAAAGTTTAGTTAGAGGAAATTGCCTTCAGGAAACTGAAAGTCAAATAATCTACTGCTGATTTTGCTATTTAGGGACAGAGTTAGACAGTGAGAGAGTGAGACAGAGAGAAAGGTTCACCCCCCAAATGGCCGCTACAGCTGGCGCTGTGCCAATCCGAAGCCAGGATCCAGGAGCTTCCTCCTGGTCTCCCATGTGGGTGCAAGGGTCCAAGCACCTGGGCCATCCTCCACTGCCTTCCTGGGCCACAGCAGAGAGCTGGACTGGAAGAGGAGCAACAGGGACTAGAACCCGGTGCCCATCTGGGATGCTGGCACCACAGGCAGAGAATTAACCAAGTGAGCCATGGCACTGGCCCCTACATTTACCTCAGGGACAATGATTAAAAACTTAGAGCCATGGGCAGTTGTTTGGCACAGTGGCTAACATGCCTTTTGAGATACCCACATCCCATATGGGAGCACCTGGGGTTGATTTCTGTCTCACCTTCTGATTCTAGCTCCCTGCTAATGGCATCCTGGGAGGAAGCAGATGATCACTCAAGTACTTGTATCCCTGCCACACATGTGAGAGATTTGGAAAGAGCTTCCTTCAGCCTGGCCCAGCCCCACTGTGCAGGCATTTGGGGAGAGAACCAGCAGATAGAAAAATCTCTCTCTCTCCCTCTCTCTCACCCTGCCTCTCCCTCTCCCTTTCTGTCTCTCTGTCTTTAAAATAAAAAGAAGTAAGTAAAACTTTAAAAAATATTAGAGTCATATCCTGCTGATGATGATGACTCAAGAGTATACCTCTTGTTGAGTCAGGAGTATCACCTCTATTAATAATAATTGAAATAGTAATTCACACTTGTAGATTACTTACCGTATGCCAGGGCTTTTGCTAAGTTGGAGTCTTAGAAGCATAAATCCATTTAATCCTCATAACAACCTGAAATGTAGGAGCTATGATTATCCTTGTTTTGCTTAAGAGGAAACAGGGGCTTAGAGGAGTTGATAAACTTGTCCAAGTCACAATACACATGAAACAAATTTTCAGTTATGGAGAAAGAAATAATAGGAAGAAACCATCTAGTTTATCAGACAAGAACACAAATATATCAACAGTCAGGTGGGTGTAAACATTCGTTTGAAAATTCAAAACAGAAATTATGGAGATTTTCTTCACTAACCTGTTTCATTATCTCTTGAGAAAATTGCTGTTCAAGAAGTCTAACCTATACTCCTCCTCCTATTGAGATTTATCTATTTCTTGTCTATGGGAATGACAGAAAAAAGAATCATCATTCTGGGCCCAGCATTGTGGCATAGTAGGTTAAGACACCACCCTGCGATGCCAACATCCCGTAAGGGCACTTGTTCGTGTCCACAACTGATTGAGCTCCCTGCTAATGAGTCTGGTAAAGCAGCAGAAAATGGCCCAAATATTTGGACCCCTGCACCCATGAGGGAGACCTGGGTAAAACTCTGGACTCCTGGCTTTTGCCTGATCAACCCCAGGCCATTGAAGCCATTTGGGGAGTAAACCAGTAGATGGAAAATCGATATCTCTTTTTCTCTCTCTGTCTCTCCCTTTCTGTCTATGAATAAATCTTTTTTAAGAAGGAATCATTAGGGGATGGCATTGTGGTGTAGTTGGTAAACCCACCATTTGCGAAGCTGGCATCCCATTTGGCCACCGGTTGGAGCCCAGCTGCTCTATTTCTGATCCAGCTCCCTGCTAATACGCTTTGGAAAGTAGCAGTGATGGCTCAAGTGCTTGGGCCCCTGCACCCACATGGGAGACACAGAGGAAGCTCCTGGCTCCTGGTTTTGACCTTGCCCAGCCCTGGCCATTACAGCCATTTAGGGAGTGGACCAGTGGATGGAAGACCTCTCTCTGTAACTCTGCCTTTCACATAGATAAAATAAATCTTTACAGAAAGGGAGGGAGGGGTCATTATTCTTCACACAATGTCATTTTTAATTTTTATTTATTTATTTGAAAGAGTAACAGATAGTGAGAGTGTCAGCATTCTAATTATTATTATTGTTGTTTTCCATTCTAACTAGGTTTATGCATAAGACAATTATTTGAAAGGCTTTTTTATTTTTTGTATGATTTGTTTAATTTTCATCCTTTCTTTGGATCTTCAAGAAAATATAGCTAAGAGTAATGTATTTAGGAGGAGCAGAGTTTCTGGGTAAGGCAAGAACATGTCAATGAGACTATTCTGGGAAACAATGGTAAGAGTGCACCACACACCTATGAATCTTTTGGGACCATGTTATAAAGCAAGAGTTAAAATGTGTGGGTTATTATATCTAGATAAACCACTAAAAAGCTAAATTAAAGGACTCCTTTGTGGGGAGCAACTGGGAGCAACTCGGACTAGACTAAGTTACTGGAATTAAGACTTATTCTATGCATCTGCTCTCCCACAATATGGCGCTGGGAGAGGAGGAAACAGCTTCTACACAGCTGCCTCCAGTTCAACCAATAAACTGTAGGACCTGCTCCTGATTGGAGGAGAGCAGCGTACTCGGCGTGTGGGTAGTAGAGTTGGGATTGGCGGAAGAGGACTATAAAGGAGGAGAGAGACAACATGCACCAGGAACATCTAAGGGGAACATCTATCTGAAGGAACACCTGTGCAGCCCCCGAGAGAGCCGGCCGGCGGTGTGCCGCTCCCCCGCGGAAGTGGGGAAAGTGGCAGGGGGAACCGCCCTTCCACGGAGGTGGAAGGGTCGGTAGCCAACCCGGGAAGAACCAGCAGCAAACCCGGGGAGGGCCGAGCAGACAAAAGAACAGCGCAGGGTCCTGTGTCGTTCCTCCACGAAGACGGGGAGCGACACTCCTTGAAAGGGTATTGGAATTTTTCTTAAGCCTTTAATAAAAACTGTGGCTACCACTGCATTAATCAGTCTCATGTTAGCATATTGGTGAGCTGAGCAGATTTTTTTCCACCAATATATTGCATAGCTCATTTTACAGGAGTCATTTTTATAAAGAAATAAATCCAGAAGGTTACCTTTCTCCTGAGGCCTTGTGCTATGAAGATGGGCATGCGACTTAAATCTCCTCATCTTCCTTGTCAGTTCTAAGGATATGTCTAGACACACAGGAGGAAGTAAAAAATTGTAGCAATCAACTACATAATTTGAACAGAAAATCACATACAGCTGAAGCACTGAGTTGATTGGATAAAATGAAGTAAATTCCCACCAGTCCTCACTCTTCACTGCCTGCTTAGACACAATTCTTATCTAGGATGCCAGAACAAGTTCAAAATTGGCAGAAATCTATGTAACCCATCTAAATTGGTGATAATCTGTTCAGCCTCAGCATAGAAATAGAGAACAGTAGTTAGAATTAAATAAACTGCCAGTTCCCCCTGATCTCAATTCCTTGTTTAGAGTTTAAATCTGTATGTACAATACCCCTAAATAACTTGACAGAAATGGGCATTTTGGCCATCTATGTGGGTACAGTAACTAATCTTTGAATTTTCAGCTTATATATTTACCAAGTAACTAGTAATTGAACTTTGTTCTACAAATACAAAAAAAAATGGAACATTTCCATCAATTCCTGCAACTACACTCCTTGCTTCAAATGATAAGCTGTCTTTGCTATTCACTAAATTAAAAAAAAAAAAAGAACAAACAAACACAATAAAACCTATGCACTTATCCTTGGAAGAAGTAACCAAGGGATGCATATCTGGGAAGCATACATCACATTCGACACAGCCTCATCATTTCACCCAATTTCGGTTAACATCATCCCACCAGTGGCAAACCATGCCAGTGTGCTGGGGGTGGAGCAGCTCCCGGGGTTCCCCCTCTGCAGAGATCCTTGCCCCAGCCTGTCAAGTGCAGGCAGTACTTGGTGCCTTGGAAGAGTCAAACATGGTGTTTTCTAAGCCATGCTGTGGTAAAATGCCTCCTCTACCATTCTAGGTAGTCTAAGTCTGGATAGGATGTGTAAAATATATCACATGTATTATATATGTGCCAATTGACAGGTAAAACTTAGTTTGTTTTTGTATTTTCTTGGCAAAAGCAATAAGATACATGACTCAAGATTCCCCACTGAGTTTATTTTTACCAATCCAAGAAGTTACATAAATGTTAAGAATAATAGTAATCAAATTGTTATATAAATAAATCTATACAACCTTGAAACATTAAGAATCATCTTACCTGTTTCTTTTACAAGACAGCTACAATTATGGAAACAGGGCCTCTAAAGAATAAAGAATAAAAAATGAGTCAGGACCCATTTCCAAATTCAATGTGTATGTTTTGGAAAAACAGAAATCAGCACACTTCAAAGGTAACCAACAGAAATTGTATGCAGTTAACCAAGAAAAGATTTGGGACAAACTAATTAATCATTGCAGGGTGTTTTAGCCTATGTTCTGCTGCTATAACAAAATACCTGGGACTGGGTCATTTGTGAACAGTGATAATTTATCCAGCTCACAATTCTGGAGGCTAGAGGAGCATGGCAAGCATCAGACAACCACCTCCTTGCTACATCATCACAGAGAGGCAGAGCAAAAAGAACGTTCCAGAGACAGAAGCCAGCTTCTGAAACAGCACACTCGTGGTAATGATCCCACCGCCTATGAGGTTATTAATCCATTTATGAGGGTAAAGTCCTTATGTCCCAATCAATGCTTAAAAGCTCCATCTTTTAGTATTGCTACAATGGCAGTTAAACTTCAGCAAGAGCTCTGGAGGGGATGCTCACAACATAGCACAGGTGTTAGAAGAAACATCACAGCCTGGAAAACATGCTTCATCATGATCGCTATAAATGAGTAAAACAATTTTCACTCTGTTTCAAAAAAAAAAAAAAGTGAAGAGTGGGAATTGCGGTGCAGTGGGCTAAGCTGTTGCTTGGGATGCGTGCACCCCACATCAGAGCACCTGGGTGGGAGCCCACCTCTGCTTCTGCTTCTTGCTAATGCATACCCTGGACCAGCAGGGGATGGCTCAGGTACTTGGGCCCCTACCAGACTCATGCAAGGAAGATCCGGATGTAGTTCCAGAGCCGTGACTTCGGCTTGGCACTGGGAGGGAGTGAACCAACTGGTGGAAGTTCTCTTATATTTCTGCCATTCAAATAAATAATAATTTTAAAAAAGAAAAAATAGAGTTTTATGCCAATAATGCAATTGTATTCCCTTAGTGTTAAATTACACCTGATATTTAAAATTAGCAGAAACCAGTATTTAACACCTCCTACTATTAAAAGTAGAGTCACATGGTTATTTTCACTTCCAACTTCACAAAGGGAGAGAAAGACCGTCAATATCACCTCAGAATGAAGAACGAGCTTGTTCTGATGCCAGTGCAGGTATCACTCTGCCTGCCCAATTCAATCACCCAAAGTGCTGTGAGGGCTCATGTTCCGCACACTCGTAGGCTGGCTCAGGCATATCATGTTGGTTTTGCTGGTTTTTTTTTGTTTGTTTGTTTGTTTGTTTTTTGACAGGCAGAGTGGACAGTGAGAGAGAGAGACAGAGAGAAAGGTCTTCCTTTGCCGTTGGTTCACCCTCCAATGGCCGCTGCACTGCCGGCATGCTGCAGCCGGCGCACCGCGCTGATCCGATGGCAGGAGCCAGGTGCTTCTCCTGGTCTCCCATGGGGTGCAGGGCCCAAGGACCTGGGCCATCCTCCACTGCCTTCCCGGGCCACAGCAGAGAGCTGGACTGAATGGGGAGCAACCGGGACAGAACCCGGGATGCTGGCGCCACAGGCAGAGGATTAGCCTATTGAGCCACGGCGCCGACTTTGCTATTATTTTTCAATAGCAACCAACTGTGGAATATTGAATGGGTACAGGCTTTGTCTTAGGCTGGCTACATAATTACAAATCCCAACAACTATGAACAATGGGAATTGTTTGCTAAAATTTTAGAGACTGAGAAAGAATTACAGGAGGGCTGAATGACTGTGCAGATATCATACAGTGGAAGCAGCAGTGACAGGATCAGAGCAGGTTGCTACTTAAAGGGTTAAAATACAAGCAAATTAATATTTTTGACAAAGAAAATATTTGCTTCTCTAAAATTCTCCTTATAAAATAGAAACCTTAATTTGATAAAACTCTTGTTTTCTATTGTTTTTAGGAGAGCATAAATGAATTATCTAGACTTTCTGTAATATTTTTAAGATTTTAAGCATTTTGATGCAGATTCAAAATAAATGATAGAAGTTGTAGACATCAAGATTAATTTTAATAACAAATATTACATATTTTTTCTCAGTAGTGGGAGACTTTACATTATTTATTGTTATTGTTTTAATTATCCTCGCCTCCTTACAAAAACCAGTTGGCGCCTGTGGCGCCAGAATCCCATAAGTGCCCTGGTTCATGTCCCAGCTGCTCCTCTTCAGATCCAGCTCTCTGCTTACGGCCTGGGAAAGCAGCAGAAGATGACCCAAGTGCTTGGGCCCCCACACCCATATTGGGGACCAAGAATATGCTCCTGGCTCCAGGATTTGGATGAGCCTAGCTCTAGCCTTTGCAGCCATTTGGGGAGTGAACCAGCGGATGAAAGACCTCTCCCTCTGTCTCTCCCTCTCTCTGTCCATAACTCTGCCTCTCAAAAAATAAATAAATTTAAAAAGAAAATCAACTGAAGGAGATCTGAACATGAAACCCATATAAGACAGCTAATTTTCTTTTTTAAAAAAACTTTTATTTAATAAATAAAATTTCCAAAGTACTGCTTTTGGATTACAGTGGCTTTTCCCCACCCCCATAAATTCCCTCCCACCCACAAGCCTCCCATCTCCTGCTCCCTCTCCCATCCCATTCACATCAAGATTCATTTTCATGAAACTCGATGAAGGGTGGGATGGGAGAGGGAGTGAGAGAGGGGAGGGCTGTGGGAGGGAGGGAGGTGGGGGGGGCAGCCACAACAATACAAAAGTTGCACTTTGTAAATTCATATTTATTAAATAAAAAGATTCATTTTCAATTATCTTTATATACAGAAGATCAATTTAGTATATATTAAGTAAAAATTTCAACAATCTTCACCCACACAGAAACACAAAGTGTAAAGTACTGTTTGAGTACTAGTTATAGCATTAATTCACATTGTACAACACATTAAGGACAGAGATCCTACATGGGGAGTAAGTGCACAGTAACTCCTGTTGTTGATTTAACAATTGACACTCTTGTTTTTGGCGTCAGTAATCACCCAAGGCTCTTGTCTTTAGATCATTAAAAGCAGATGCAACTAGAATAATTATTGAAATTAAGCACTGAATTTAGTTCTGAATTTGTATCGGTTATACAAAGTAGATATACAAGTGAGAACATACATTTCTTATTGTTTTAGTGAAAAGCAGAGAAACTCAAATATTCATCTGGCAACAAATCTAAAAGGAATTTTAAAAACACAATAGCCACCATTGAGTGAGTATTCACTCAGCGCTAGGCCCTCAGCTTGGTAGTATACATTTACAAGGGTAGTTCAAAGCATTTTTGGAAAAGAGAATTAAAAACCAAGTTTATTTTGGTGCAAAAAAAATTGAAATCTGTGCATAATTTTTTTCAGATTCTGCATTTTCCATGAACCTTTTGAAGATCCCCCTGATATTTAAAGAACAAACATCATATGAATCATATGGATCCTTCTAATAGGCTCAGAGTAAAATAAGATAAAATGTCTTCAACTACAGTTTTGCAGTTATTCTGACTCGTTATTCAAACAAGTATTTTTATCTGTCTCTGACAAAAGGAGGGTATAGCACTATGAATGGAAGAAGAGCACCTCTGAAAACGAGGGAAGATAAAAGACTTTATGGCCTGGCAAGTTTTGGGTTTTGAGGAGCTGGCTTAGTGCAGGAATAGAATGAAAGAAATGGGAGAATGAAAGCAAGCAAATCCTTTCAGCAGCTCTGTGAAATATCAAATACCTTAAGTAAGCTTTTGGCAGGTGCAACACCACAGTCAGTTTATAGACGAATGCACTAACAT